AGCACAACCACTGTTATCATCATAATGATTGCTCGTTTCTTCTTCCTGGTATGAAAATGGTTGCTGATTAATCAGGATCACGTCAGGCAATATGTTGTACAAACAATTCTCTTGTATCTTTATTATTTGATGCTTATGTCATTACTTTTAAAATTGAAGAAAGTGATTGTCAATTGACACTTTGAAGTACATGTGAACTCACACTGCCCTTTTCTATTACACTGAGGGGTTGATTTACTAAGGCTACGTTCACACTAGCGCTGTGTGCAGGCGGCAGAGAGGTGTTTGGGAAGCTTTTTTACCGCTTCCCAAATGCCTCTGCCAATTCTGCACATTACAGCACATGGTGCTGTTCTAACGGGAACGTTTGCGTCGTGTCACGTTGCGTCGCGGCAAAACGGACGCCTCTGGTCAAGTCAGGAGGCGTTGAAGCCTCCTATTCTAGTCTATGGTGCCCGGTGCGGTTGCGACGTGGTTGCAGAGCGGTAACACCATTCAAACTGCATTATAGGCGTTTGTGGGGCATTTTTAACGCACGGAAAATGCCTAGCAACCGTCGCTAAACCGCGCATGCGGTGTTTGCAGAGCGTTTGCCGAGCATTAAAAAACGCTCCGCAAACGCCGGACCAACGCTTGCCAAAGGCTATAGGGGCGTTTGGCAAGTGTTGGTAAAACAGCCAAGTGTGAACAAGCCCTAAGTCTGGTGCAGCTCTGTATAGAAACCAGAAATCAGCTTCCAGTTTTTTTTTTTTTTGTCAAAGCTTAATTCAGTAAGATGAAGCTAGAAGCTGATTTGCTACATGCACAACTGCACCACATTTTGCACTCTCACTTTTTACTAAATCATCCCCTGTGTATCAAAACTACTGCCTATCAAACAAAACTGTTCAACTTTTCCTTTACTCCCTCCCTCACTCCATTCCCTAATTCCTTCCCTCACCCATTCCTCATTCCTTCTTTTTTTTCCCTCATTCCTTCCTTTCTTCCTTCCTTCCCTTTTGTTGCATTCAATTACTGCTAATCTTCTCCACGGGTGAGCATGGACGAATGGCTGTACTATTTTATCCTGGAGAGAAATAAAGAAATTGCATGTGCTCTGCAGCAGTTTTTGGCTTTATTTATGGTATGAGGATCGGCTGACAGGAGCCTTTGGAGCACTGCACCTCACATTCCAGAAAGGCAGCTGCTTGTCTTTCTGTTTGTTGGAGCCACTTTTAGCTTACAAGCACTCACTCCATCAGTAGCTGCTCATCATTGCTCAGGATGAGCTTTCCTAATAGAGGCATACATCTGCACAGCTCCAACAAACCTTGCTGTATCTGTGTGAAATAATTATCTTGTATAATCCGTGGTGCCATGAAGAGGCCACAATGCATTCACTTTCCTGGTTGAGTTAATTAAAAAACAAATACCTCATTATGGCCACTACATGGTGCTAACAATTATAAGAGATAATTATAACACACCATATACAGAAAGTTTTGTTGGAGATGTGCAGATGTGTGTCACATTCTTTCAGAAAACTTTCTATAGGTGGACCTCATACCCTCAGGGGACTAAACCATCAAGTTTAAAGGGAAGTGGCAAGGAATAAGAAATTACCTTTTAGAACTGTATTCTAAATGTCAAGGAGGGGGGTGGCTTGAACATTGAGGTCAACAGGAAACCTACCCAAACAGACTAGTATTCACTGGAAAACAAACTGGGGTCTACAGTATTAGAACTCTGCAACATCAGCCTGATGTGGTAAAAATAAACAGAGTCTGAAGACAAATGGAAATCTTAGGAGGGCTTTAAAAGTTGGTGTTTATTGAGACTGGGTTTTTATTGTAGAACCAAAAGGTCAAGCAAAAAACAAAGGACTATTGTGAAAAGCAGGACACATGGAGTAATGTAGCCATTCCATATATATAGTTGCCAGCTGTCCTGATCTGGACACTCACGGATTTTGAAAACTTGCCCCGAACTTGTCCTGGGCTTCGTCCCAGAAATCAAGGCCGGTCACGGACAGGGCATTCAAAGCTCAGATGCAATCACTCACTGCAGTGCTGCTGGGCAGTGTCATCAACACAGGACCATTCCGGGCACTGATCCCTCTCCCTACCTTCTCCCCCTTGCACTGATCACTCAGGCAGCTATGGGGACTCTGGCAGGCTGCAGAGAGAGAGGAATGGAACAGTAAGTCTGTGTGACAGTGTGGCGGCCCTTATCTGCAGGATGTCAGCATAGTTGCTAATAATGTACAGCCAGCAAGGATATGCTACCAATAAAAGGGTTAATCATGTTTCTAGGGATCTTATTAACCTAAAATCGCTGGTGGCTACAGATATGATTAACCTTTTTATTGCTATCAGAGCTATGATGGAAGCACATGATTAACCTTCTTGTAGAACCCCATTCATATTAAATGAATACCCTGCTCCTAATAAAGTACATGCTTTCCCTACAGCAGCTTTCTGGACACAGAAAAAAAATGTCCAAAACCTTTTTTTGAAATGTTGGCAACTATGCATTTATAGCTGGAGTGTAAGAAAAACTCAGAGGGATCTTTAACAAACATTTCCTCCCTATGTCTTTTAAGCCAAGCAATACACTAAGACAAAAGCTTGCACATCCAAAAACCCAACATAACCTCAGTAACGATAAGCAGTGCAAAGATGTGAAAAATGGAAAACCTGTGCATTGGGGAGACAAAAAAAAACAACATAGGAAGGCAAATTCTACAGGCAAATACAGGAAATACAAATTCTACTAATTACCGTATTTAAAGCAAATTTAGTTAGCGGATTAATATTCAGTTTTATACTATGTCATAAAACAATTGTAAAAATTTTTTTTTTTTAAGATACAGTTTTCATTTTTTTTAATCCTTTGTAACTCAAAGGTGCAGCCTACTTGCCTCTTCCTGTCAACATACACTGACTCCAGTGATGTCTGCATGGCACTACTTAAGGTAGTTTTCCAAGTGGTGATTACAGTTGACCATGCCTACTTATTGTGTATTGTGTTTTGAAATAGGCACTCGTAATCACTATCAGAATGCCATGTGAAAGGATTATAATACAAGGGCACTGGTACTCTCCACTTCCCTCCACTGACATCAACCTTCTTCTGGATCCTGAAACGACCCCGCCACTGGCCATCCAGTAAGAAGTGTCCCGTTAATGCAGGCAGTGATGTGGACACCCAAAAAAGGACCCATGCATGAAGTAAAACAGGAGAAGAAAAGGTTTGGGACCAGAGTGTCACATGAACTTGGCTATGGGTAAGCTAAGAGTGATATTATATAGGTTTTTTGGTCTACTGATTATGTCAGGACCTGGATCTGAACATGCAACCTCTGCTCTGTCTGGCAGTGTCTTTTCTTGCTGAGCCACCTAAAATGCTGAACAGTTCCCTGCCTGAATCCTTAGACAACCTTCACTTATGTCTTGTTTCCCTTTAACCTTAAACCATTTGCCCATTTCATGAACTTTCTATTAAAGCCATGGTTTTGCACTTCCTGTTTACCAAATCATTGTGCTCTCTTCAGACAATATCTCGCTGTTTTCGCTCCTGCTGCCCGTTACTGACTACGCTTCTGCTGATCCCAACCTGCAACTACTTGTTACTGACCTTTGGCTTGTTTACTGACTATGCTTCTGCTTGATCCCTACCTGCTATATCTGCTACTGGACTCTGCTCACCTCCTGGCGTGGTGATCCTGAGGACTGTGAACTGGTACTAACATAGAGAAAACTCCATCTCCACCATTAGGAGCTCTGGTCAATACTGGTTAGTGCATAGACTGCCATACCTTGGGAAAGCCTGCATCATCCATCAGGGTGACCTGCTTGTATATCTATCCTGCTGTTTGATAGGAGCCTCTCTACTGCTATAGCTACTGATCTCTGAGCCTGACCCCTGACTGTGACAGGTTAGTTAGATGGCTGGTTTGTAGGCTAGCTTCCTTGTACTGAGAGGAAATACTCACACACAGTTTATAGTGCACCAGTGTATTTTGGTTGCACCAATAAATAAACTGTTCTTCAGTACCAGTATAGGAAATCCAGATAATATGCAATCTCAGTGTTTACATTATATGTTGCTGGAGGATAGTTTCCATTACCAGGGGTAGCATCCCTTCTTTGAATAGGCAGAGGATATTTCTGCAGTCTGCTCTTGCTCCAAGCCTCTGCCTCACCTTATAGAGTGTATGAAGTGAAGACGGAGCCTTCCCTGAGCTATCCCTCCTCGTCTGGAACCTGATCCTGTGCTAAGCATTGTTCCTCACAAGTGGGTTCTTCTCCCTACCACATACTCGCCATAGGCATGCCAAAATGATGTGGGGTTCCTTATTTAAAAGATTTCCTTACCCAAGATGGCCACCAAAGTCTCATGAGAGTTTGGTGTCTAATCGCACTACCTTCCTCTATCAAGCCACTGTATGGAATCGCTAAGGCAGCCTTTCTCAACCATTTCAACGCAGAGGAACCCTTGAAATAACTTTCCAGTCTTAGGGAACCCCTGCTAAAAATTATTTTATCTACAATACATGATACATTGGTGTGATAGTCAGAGGTAAGAATGCTCCTTACACTTGTGGTCATTGGGAAGAATTACCCCCTTACAGATAGCTAAAAAGATCAATGGTGTCAGTGGGAATTTACCCGAGAGACAAAAATTGCTCATTCCTCAAGGAATCCTTGGCAACCTCTGGAGGAACCCTGGTTGAGAAATCCTGTGCTAACGGACCAATTCCCTTACAAGACAACTCTTCCCATACAATAATGGGGCACTAGATCACCGAGAGGTGGGAAGGATAACTACACCTGCCTACTGGAGTGGGGCTTTAATTGACAATGATTGGTCAAAGAGATGCATACATAAATAAAATAAATATATATATATATATAAACTAACCTGGCTATTTTAGACATCTCATTGCCATGGATAGTTTGAAGCACTGATGCATCTCCAACTCGTTTCTTAATCCAGAGTTCATAGCCAATTTTACTGTAGAGCAGAAGCATCAATGTTAGTGGAAGGAGAAACAGGATCACTAGAATAAAGGTTGTGTAGATTTTCTGGTGAACAAGTCTGTTCCATTTTTCCAAGCAGCACACGTACTGTTTCTCATACAAAAAGTCATATTTAATCTGAAATACAACGATAAACATGTTAGAAACCTATTCATGGAATAACAAGAAGATGTATCACACTAAACACCATGTAAACAATGGCTTAACAATCAGGCCTATGTCACTTGCATTTGACCATAGTAACTAGAATAAGCATGGTCACTCTATGTAGTAACATATCAAAAAAAAGACCAATCAAATTCTCTTACTTGCTTCCAACCAGAAAACTACCTTATAAGATGATTTTAGGTCAGTTGGTACATTTTTCTATACACATTTGACCTTTACTTGACTTGACATCATTATATAAAGTCCATAATGACATTGCTGTAGCAAAATAATATCTGAACTGGGGGGCGCTCGTGAGCAGCACTCATGATGGCCGCTCGGTAGGTGTGCTCCTCGCCCACTGGACACATCGGCAAATGTATCTTCTCTCAGGGGGGTCAGCCAGTCACCCACTGACCCTCCCCAGATTGCTGCCTCCCCAGTCACTCTAATGGGGAAGACAATCAAGGCTGCCTCCAGCGCTTGGCAGGCCGCTCGGGAATTTGTGGCCTACCTGCCGGACGTTGCAAATGGAGCCTCGATTTCGGGTCCACTGCCAATGCTGCCCGTAGGTACACCGGATCCCACGGATGAGATGGGCACTGAGCCAGGGGCACCCATGCAATACCCTGCACTGACCCTGCGGGATGCTGTTGATGCTGCAGAACGAGTTGTCCTCCACTACTTCCAAACTGGCGGAACACCTCTCACGAGAAATCAGGGAGCTGGGCAACCGGACGAATGATCTCAAGGAAAAAATGGACTCTGCGGCCCAGGGGCGGACTGACCATGTGGAAACTCGGGCACTGCCGGTGGGCCCGGGGTCAGTAGGGGGCCCCATGAGATGCCCCTGGTACCTTTTTCATAGGTTTTTTTGAGTTTGGGCAAGGACACAGGGGCCCCATGATCCCCTATTGCCCCAGGGCCCCATGAGTTGTCAGTCCGTCCCTGCTACGACCACAGTCATTGAAAGCCATGAGCAGGACCTGTGTGACCTAAAGAAAGAATTGGCGGGTGCACTGCTCCGGCTTGAGGATTTCGAGAACCGCTCCTGCAGCAGCAACTTAAGCTTACGGGGTATTCCGGAATCCGTCATGGATCTCACCTCACCGCTACTGGCCTGTTTCAGGAGCTGACCCCTGCCATTCCCATTGACCGTCTTGTATTTGACCGCATCCACCATGCACTGGGTCCCAAAGGGCTGGAGGGGCCTCCAAGAGACATTAGCATCAAATTCACCATTTACCACACTAAGGAAAGCATTCTCTTGGTGGACAGGAACAGCCCAGACCTCATCTTCCAGGGGCATCGTTATCAGCTCTTTTCAGACCTTTCCCAGAGCACTCTGCAGAAGCGCTGCCAGTTGAAGCCCTTCACCTCTGTCCTGGTAAACCGCAGAATCAAGGTTAGGGATTTCCATTCTGCCTCACTTTCGACTACCACGGCCATCGCCAGATGAAGCCCACTCTCTCCTAGAATCCCTGCATCTTATCCCACTGGGAGGTACTGCGCAGAGTCTGGTGCACGCATCTGGATCTCAATCTGGGCCACCTCATCTGGGTTGCCTCTGGGAGAAGGCATCAAACCGGAAGGGAGCCCTTCCGCTGACCGCTCTGTGATTGAGTCCAACTTGTTCTTCACCAGGATGAAGTTGTATCCGGGACTTCCTTTGTTGTGCTTCACTGTTGCATCCTTTTATTATCGTGACCGTGAGTTCGGCCTTCTAGGCCTCCCCAATATTGATGATGTTATGTTATTGGGCCCTGCTTGGCCAGTCCCCTTGGGGTTCGGTCTGTGGGTGAGGGGTCCCGCCTGTGACTTTTTGCTACTGTCAAATGTCATGGGTCTCGGCGAGTGGCTGGGTTCATGTTGGTGGAACTGGCTGATGACTGTCTTGGGTTCTAGGGGGGGTGGTTGGCTTGAGTGGGCACTTGTTCTGTACTAGGTGATGGCTGTGCTGGGGCGCTGGGGTGGGAGACCATCTGGGCTGTGGTGCTGGGTTCTGTAGCGGCCTGTAGTCATCTCCTCGGAAGGGGCTGGGCCAAGAGAGTCTATTTGCCATCTATTCTAAACGTAATCATTACTCTAATACACCAACAGGTTTCACTGATTTCTGAGGTAAAGTGATTTGAAAGATGAATATTACCCCCTTCCCGGTGACCGTATGCAGCTATGTAGCCTCACAGAAGTAGATCTTTATATGTGAGATTGCATACCTGTGTAACTGTCTTTGTGCTGGGGGCACACTGCACAGCATGCTCAGCATGCTCCCAGCACAGTGGCCTGACTCTCATCAGAAGCCTTGGGTCTTGTACTAACAATGGAGACCTGAAACTCTCGGTTACGGGCCACCTGATTGCTGTGTTAGCCTTTGATTGGCTATCACAATGATCAGTCACTAGCAGCCTGCCCATGAATTTACTTTCTCTCTTGAATGGAGAAGATGAAAATGCAAATAAATAAATAAAAATTTGTAAAAATAATAATAATAATAATGAAAAAATACAAAATAAAGAAGAAAATAACTAGTTCAAGGTTTAATCTAGGTCAGTGCCAAGGTTAGTGTTAGGGCCAAGGTAAGGGGCAAAGGTTAAGGCCAGGGGCAAAGGTCTGGGTCAGTATATTTTTGGCAGAATTTAAAAAAAAAAAGCCTTTTTTAAAATTAGTATTAATGTCAGTTAGTGTCAGTGTGTTTTAGGTTGGATAAAACCCCCTCAAAATGTGCACCACAGTTTCTGGGCCCTACTACGGGTACAGACAATAAATAATATACACATATTTGCTATCATTGTGATCATCAGGAGAAGGAGATTATACACTCACTGGCCACTTTCTAAGGCACACCTGTTCAATTGTTTGGTAGCACAAATTGCCAAATTGCTAATCAGCCGGATACATGGCAGAAACTCAATGCATTTCCACAAAACGATCACCCCCTGAAGAAAACGTGTGCAAAAATAAATACATAAATATATGTGCAGTGCTCCCCTCTCGGGTGTGCACTCACCAAAAAGTGTTGCCTCCCACTCTCGTGGTTGGCACACTAGGCTTTAATGGATGATTTTACAAGAGATTAATCAGACCACTGTGATGTTTTATTCTCCTTAATCTTGAAACATTGGAATCCCAGGACAAGCACTCCCGAACTCCAGCACACAAACTTCTCCCAATGCTCCACACTCAAATGACCATGTAGGAGAAAAAAAACGAGAAAGCCCCAAATGGTGAAGTGCCAACTAAACTATTCTTTATTGCCACAATAGAGTGCCAATTACAAGATGAAAATAAGTGAAAAGCCCAAAGATGTTAGCTTTAGTAAGCTCTTAGTGTAAGGAAAGCCGAATCAGTTTCTCACCACCACCGACCTTTGATCTCAGACGCTCCTGCGTCACTTCAGGTTCTGGTCAGCGTCACTTCCGGTCACTGCATAGCCACATCCTAACGCGTTTCGTCACTTCTGACTTAGTCATAGTCACTATTTATGTATTTATTTTTGCACAGGTTTTCCTCAGGGGGTGATCGTTTTGTGGACTGATTCATTTGGACTTTCCTTTTGGAATATCATTAATTATTAATTGTTATTATTTCATTAATTATTTTTATGTGCAAAATATTTATTTTATTTATATATATTTTTATAAGAGTTCTCTGCACTGATAATTGATTTATGTGCCACCTGAATACTTTTTGAAGTGTTTTCTTTCTTTGTGATTATTTTATTTTTTAAAGTGGCTAGCGTAGTGGTTATACACACACATTATATAATAGTGATAGGAATCATTAACACTTTTAGTGCAGTTTGTTGGTTATACACCTTCACTACTTTTACAATATACAGTATACTGCTCATGTATTTAACTGTGTCCGTATAAATATTTATACCTATAATGCTATGCAATAAAGTATCAAGCGGACAACTAAAGTAAAAGATTACCTTTTTTAACAGAATCACTATATGTTTCCATGGATAATCATTTGTTTGGATAATGCTTCCATTATCAAGCGGTTTCTTTAAGTTGGCTAACAAAGCCTACATTTTGTTAATCACTATGGTAGTCATAGGGGATTTTTAACATATCACTGATATACATTCTGAACCACAATTTGCATGTATTGGAAGACTTAATAGTAGGTACATGTACCCTCAGTGACAATAGAGTCCTGTACTCTCTAAGATGAAGTCCATCAAATATGTGATCGTGGAAACTAGTTACTAACACAGAGGAAAGAAAAATTGGATCAATAATGAAGCAGTTTCCCTACTTTCTTAGTTCAGATAAATCAAGCAGCTTTATTGATTGCTATTACATTTTGTTCCACTAGCCCTTCCCTATTAGATTGTAAGCTCCCAGGAGCATCTTGTATCAAATTGTATTGTTGATGCATTGTTTCCCTCTACCCTGTTTCACACTAGGGCAATTTTTTCAGCTGCTTCTAAGGGTATCAGGCCGCGTGCGCACCCTACCAGTGCAGCTATTCGCGGCTTCGGCCGTCAATCACCGGGTCCCAGCCAGTGATTACTTGCCGACACCCGGTGATTGAGGAGCATTACCGACGGAGGGAGAGAACTGTAAGTAAACAATACAGTTCTCTCCCCTGTCAGCTCCTGCACACTGCTATGCAGGGTTTTGCATAGCAAAGCCATGCATAGCAGCGTTCTTGCAGTGAAGCACAGACACACAGCACACAGTAAAACAGCACACAGTTAACCCTTTGATCGCCCCACATTTTAACCCCTTCCTGCCCAGTGCCATCAGTAGTGTCAGTGCTTTTTATTAGCACTGATCACTGTATTGGTGTCACTGGGGATGTCAGTGACACCAAGTCAGTTTCTCCCAGTGTCAGAATGCCCGCCACAGTCCCGCTATAAGTCGCTAATCGCTGCCATTATTGGTAAAAATAAAACCCAGTATATATACCGCCATTTGTAAACGCTATGACTTTCACGTAAACCAATTCATTTACACATATTGGGATTTTTTTTTTAGCAAAGACATGTAGCAGAATACATTTTGGCCTAAATTTATGACGAAATTTGATTTTTGACATTTTTTTTACTGGATATGTTTAATAGCAAAAAGTCAAAAATATAGTTTTTTTCTCAAAATAGTTTTTTTTTATAGCGCAAAAAATTAAAAATGCACAGGCAATCAAATACCACCAAAAGAAAGCTCTATTTGTGGGCAAAAAAGTACGTAAATTTCATTTGGGTGCAGCATTGCAATTGTCAGTTAAAGTAACGCAGCGCTGGAACACAAAAAATGTCCTGGTCGTGGATTGTGGGCAAATCCTCTGGAGGGAAAGTGGTTAACGCCAGGGGCGGATTGACCATTTGGAAACTCGGGCACTGCCTGATGGCCCGGGGTCAGTAGGGGGCCCCATGAGATGCCCCTGGTACCTTTTTTATAGGTTGTTTTGAGTTTGTGCAAGGACACAGGGGCCCCATGATCCCCTATTGCCCGGGGGCCCCATGAGTTGTCAGTACACCCCTGTTGGTTGCATAGCATGTGTACTTTTACATATTTGCCTTCAAAAAGCCACATTTTTTGAAGGCAAATATAAACGAGATTGTTCAGAAATTGTACAATAAAATTGTATAATATATGGGTTCTACTGGATATACAGTATTTTCTGTGGAAACATCTACAGACTAGCAAGTCTCACAACAGATAATATCATAGCAACTCAGTTTACAATAGGGGGATAGCTGAAGATAAGTTCATTATCATACTTGTCTTTCAGGCATATGCCTGCAGAGAGCAGAGAGATCTTCAGCAGCACAATTTCTGATACGTTGAACAGCTGCCCATGTACACTACAGCATAAAAATGAATGTTAGAGGAATGTAGGGTTAAAATCCTCAGAAAGCGCTGCGGTGTGATGCAGATAAAGACACTGGGCAACTTACTAGTGATTTTTAATTACAGCCTATGGGAGTTGTGCTGCACAAAAATCCATGGGAGTCGTGGTGCACACAAATCGCCCAAAAGTAGTGCAAGAAGTAATTTTTTTTTGTTGGAGCAACTTAAGTCCTGGCAATTAAGACAGCACCCAATAAAATCTATGTTTCTCATTTGACCTGCGGTTTTATCGCCTGAATATTGCAGGTTGCTGGAAAATCGAAATCGCTCTAGTGTGAACCAGGGTGTTATATTGTAAAGCGCTGTGCAAACTGTTGATGCTATATACAATAAATCCTGTAAAATAATAATATTAATAATAAAAATCATTTTTTAAGGCTGACTGCTTCATTTGCATGCACATCCACAAACTTAGTGTGCCCTTAACCACTTCAAGTCTGGACACTTTTACCCCTTCCTGCCCAGGCCAATTTTCAGCTTTCACTGCTATCACACTTTGAATGACAATTGCGCGGTCATGCAACATTGTACTCATATGACTTTTTTGCATTTTTTTGAGACAGATAAAGCTTTATTTTAGTAGTATTTATTCACCACTGGGATTTTTATTTTTTCTGCTATATAAATTAAAAAAGTCCTAAAATTTTTTAAAAAAGTGTTTTTCTTATAAAAGTTTGCAAATAAATAATCTTTCTTCATAAAACTTTTTATTCGGTTATCTTTTTAGTAAAAAAAAAAATAACCCAAATTAGCTTATAACCCAAAATTATAATTTTTAAAAAAATATTTTGACATTTTTTTTTATATTATTATTTATGGTTTTTTTAACATACTGTCACCCTAGCAGTACGGTGTCACCATAGTGACACTGTACTACTTGTGGGGGGTGATGAAGATTTTTTTTTTTTTAATTTTACACTGATTGTATTTACACCCATAAAGGCTGTAAAAGCAATCCTTTCTTATTCTCTCTGACTGCATTCTTGCAGCCATTGAGAAATACTGTGAGAGCTGTGATTGGTCACAGCTTGTCACATGGTACAAGTCTGTTGTGAATAGCCTTGTACCATGTGACTTCTGTGATCATTCACAGATTTTACACGTAGTAAGCAATGATGTCAGAAGTGACATCTTGCTTACTACTATTCATGTAATCACTGATTGGCCAATTAGTGATCACATAATCGGGACCTCGCACAGAGGTCCCGTACAGCAATAGGACACAACGGGCACCGGATCACGGTGTCGAGCGTTCCCAGGGAGCGTGCACAGGCTGTAAATGCGGGCTCAGTTTATGGACGGCAACCCACTCCTGCACTGCTCCTGTCCGGCCGTTTATGTACATGGACGGGAAGTGGTTAAACTTAATAATCCAACTGCTGCGTAGTTGTGCAGTGGCTAGCATCGATTTTCAGCGCTGATGTCCTGGTTTCAAAGCCTATTAAGACCCTTGTGCACAGAACTTTTATTTTCTTCCTATCTCTATATAGATAACTTTGTTGTTCCAGAAAATAAATATTACCAACAGGCTAACTGCAGTCTGACCCAAAAAAGCGCAGCTGTGTATATCTGTGTGACTAAAGCAGGGATCTTAGTTTTCATGCACCAATGCAAAAGGGAGCAATGTGAATAATAAATATTTCCTGTAAATTTTTGCTGAATTTGCTGATGGTATTGTATAACTATATCCAGTATATGGCTCTATGCACACTATGGTGTCCGTTTATGACCCAGAGAATAGCTGCAATTCAGAGCATCGCAGCTATTCTCTGGTCATTCACAGTTTATGACACTCAGGAGATCAGCGGAGAACATGTTCATCCCTTCACTGGAGATCTGTGTTCTCCCTCCAGATTCTCTAGCCCAGAGCTGGAGAATCGGAGGGACCGCAAACTAAGCAGCGATAATTTACCTCTGCTTAGTAAACTGATCTTTTACTGTAATCTCACGAGATTATAGTAAAAGCTGCCATTTTCCAGCATTTGTAGATTGTTCTCCCTTCGTTCGGAGAACTGATCTACACCGCTTCATAAAAGGCATTCGCAGGAGAACTGTGTTCTCCGAGATTTCCGGAGAACTGAGCAACGATCATTTACCGCTGGTTCATAAACGGACACCTATGCTGGATAAATAATGCTGGTAATAGCAATTTTTAATAGCCATTTAGAAGTGTTTAGGAGCGTTAACATTTTATTAGTGTTTTACAGTACATGTAGATTAAAAAAAAAAGTTAGAAAAAAGCTGTTAGAAGCGTTTAGGAGTGTTTAGCGCTCCCAAAAACTCTACAAAAACATTTTTCTGCTCCTAAATGCTGAAGCTTGAACTACTAGCCTAAAATAGTGTCCATGGACAGATAGAAAAACATTATTTAGCTTCTAGAAGCAGAGAGAAAAATGCTGATGCTGATAACAGCTTCTAGGAGCTTAAAAAAATGCTAGTATGCATGGAGCCTATATATGCTACTGTAATTTTCCCCAGTTGAGCAGCAAATATTTTCCAGATATTGCTAAGGTTAAACATGTATACCATTGACATTTCAGTGTTTATCAGTTTAGAGTAGTCACAACAAGAAAAGCTGATTTCAGATTATAAATGTTTTAATACATTTCAGAATTCAAAGCATCAAAAAAGAAACACAACATAATTTCCATTTTTAGGTTTGTTTTTTTTCAGATGGAAAGATGTGAGAGTAGAAATCTCTGCACGGAAAAGATTAGGGATAAGGGAAAACTCTTTTTACTCCGTGGCCATTGATCTTTCCAGCCGCCAGATTTTTATGCCAGGCATCCAAAGATTCAGAGATGCATTGCATCTTAAAATAGTCAAGTTAATATCAGCATGTTTAACCCGTCAATGAAATTTGAAATCTCTCTATGCAATGTTCCTCTCTAAGAAACTCTGTTTTCCAGCCGTGTGAGAATTACACCTTACCTGATCTACAGAGTATCGGTAGAGGTAAATTATATACTGAGGAATACGCCTACACACCCCAACTAACATTTAGCAATCCAACAATAATTACAGGTTTTAAACTGCAAACATAAAAAAAAAAATCCAGATGTCTTTCATTATTAGACGTGGGCACCTTGCTTACTGGATCCAAATTATTAATGTAATAACAGTTTAGTAGCACATTGTAAAACAAATTGAATATGACTGAAACTCATTGATATAGAACTATAGGCAAAACTTTTTTCTTTTATCATTTTGGATAGAGCAAGGGAGGGTTATACCCCATCTGATTTTTTTTTTCCATTTGTGTCCCATTGGGGAGGTTTACCTTCACCTCCTGTCCCATAGCCAAGTGAGAGGAAATCACTTCAAGTTCATGGAACCCCATGGGCCCCTCAGGTCACCAGAACAAGTGTCCTCATTGGAAGATTTCTCCTCTTACTTTTCTGGGGACAACCCAAAATTGCGATTTTCTTTTACTTTCACTTTTAATGATAATGGTAAACAGGACAAATACAAAGGGTGAATTTCCCTAACAAGGAAACAGCAATAAAAACTAACACGCAGTCTAATCCCGCAGTCTAATCCCTCTCTACCTTATCCAAAACTCTCTCTCTATATATATATATATATATATACATACACACACACACTGTATATATATATAGTATATTTATACGTTCTAAAGTATTAAAAGCACAAGAGCTTCTTGAGGCATATTTCCCTTTATGTGAACCCTAACAATGAACTTCTCCTATTTGTTTACTTTTGCTCTGGTAAATAGGCAAAGTTTCCTGTTCTATTATGTTTGTCTAGCACCTTCTAGTGCAGTTAGTTTTTTTTTGTATAGTTAGGGTCTTGCTAGAAGCCTGCTCTAGAAACTTGAAGAAGGTTCTACAAGCCAGTAGGCGGAGGTGAGGAGGGGCTGATCTGCATATTTATGGGAGTCTGACCAATCACAGGCAGCAGGCCTGGTGGTGTGGGAAATCAGCCCATAAATCTGATAGAGCCTGGCCAGCAAGGGGAGTCAGGTGGAAGATGAAGTGAGGAAGTGCTGATGGGAGG